TCATTTTGTTCAAAAGAAAAAAAAAAAAAATTATTATGTGTCTAAATCCATTCCTTTATTTTCCATATTCTAGTAATTTCTTGTCCATACATTTTTCAAGTGTTTTCTTATAACTGAATTGTCTACTATACATTATCCTACTTCAATCCAGCTGGTTGTTTGGCCTTACATTCTTTGGTCTTTATTTTTCTTTCTTTCTTAGTTGTGGGTCTGTTTGGTAGACTGGATAAGATTAGGTCTAAGAGATAATATGAGATTGTTAGAGATATGTAAGCTAGACTTGTAATCCATGTATAAGATAGGTTAAATATCCCACTCTATTTTATATTCATAACCCATCATATCTAATTCTGTCAACTCACATTTTGATACAACAAACAATAAATTGGACTAAATCCATTTTAATTGGCTGTAACACACCAAACAACGCCTAAGTTCTTTCTCCCTAGATATTGCAAGCAATTTCCCCAATTACAGTCCTTGATTTTCATTGAAGTCCTTGTTAACCTTGAGATTAAGTGCGATCAAGTTGATTAGAGTATTGTGTATCTTTATGCACCTAAATTCTATTTATAGTTTAGACTTAAATACTGCTCGAATAGACGGAACGAAATTAAAATAAGCATCTAGTTTTATACAAAATATTTGGATAGGGAATTAGATTCACCCACATAATGGTTCATCAATAGTTTGGTTTTGAATTCTTCATTTATGGAAGGGGATGGTAATAGGAGGGAAGATAATCCTCCTCTCCTCTTGTTAGTGACGCCACTGGCGTGGCTCTTTATCTTCCACGTTTGAGAAAAGTGGGTCCCCTTCCACTTGCACCTCCCTCTGCAGAAATATAAAACAGTTTGGCATTGCTCTCTGTGTGTCCAAAGAAGAGAGGACGGGTGCCCACGGAGAAGAGAGAATTCTGCTTCTCTTCCACTTGTTGCCTTTGGGATTTGGGTATGTAAAACTCCTCTTCTTCCTCTCTTCTCTTTTCATTGATTATGTACATATACATATATATATTTATATATATCGACATGTTTCTAGTGATCAGTTAGTGTTCATGTATGGATATTTTCTCTGGTCGTTTATAATTATATCTGTTTTATGAATTTGCTGATTTCAATTTTGTTATGTGCGTGTGTGTGTTATTTGACCCGAAATTTTAATAGAGCCTTATATTAGCTTTACTTTTGATTCAAAATATAATTACAAAATATTTCCAATCTTTATTTTTTCCGTGTTATGTGGAGGTTTTTCTTAGTTTATTTGGAGTTGGGTTCAGATATAAAATGCAATTTGAGGCTCCGTTTGGTGTTTTGGATTGGAATGGAGTAGATAAGCCACTATGTTTAAGGGTTTGTTCAAGGAAGAAATGAAAAATTGTGTCCAACTTGGAGGTAGAAGATGGATTACGCATTAAGGATTAGAAGGGATAAGTTTCCTTCATATCTAATCCCATCAAAATGAAAGCTCATTCATCTCAGTCCTTCAATATACTTGAATTTATAGAGTAACCCAGTCAATTCCAATCTCAGGCACCAAACGAGCCCTGAATGTTGTTTCTCTCCATAGTAACTAATAATACAATGATACATGTATTATGTGTACTTATGTATAAGGTTCGGATAACACTTTAGAAACACTAGAGAAAATTAAGGATAATCAAGGCTTATATTTATTTACGTATTATGTATAGCAGCTGCATAGGTGGTGCCGGGAAGTACTGGTTGAACTTATGTGACCTTCGATTTAGAAAATTCACATGTATATGTATTCCCCTATAGAAACATGATATCGACGTGTTTGTGTTTGTGTGTGTGTGTTTGTGTGAAATCATACATTTCTCTGGTAGCCGTGGATTACTTCTTTTAATGGGTCTGAGGTTAAGTTCTAACTGGGAAGTGCAATAGATGGGGACTACCATTTTTCTTTTCTTTCTGGTGGCTGAGGTTAACTTTTAATTTGTATGCAGCTGAGGGTCGGCTCAATTTGTGAACTTGCAGGGAGGCGAAAATGGACTACGTTAATGGACCAGGAAGGAACCATCTCTTTGTTCCAGGCCCGGTGAATATTCCGGAGGCAGTCCTTCGGTCCATGAACAGAAACAATGAGGATTACCGTTCTCCCGCTGTTCCAGCAATGACCAAAACTCTGCTCGAGGATGTGAAGAAGATTTTCAAAACTACAACTGGAACTCCATTTATGATCCCTACCACAGGTATCTCAAACCATTATGGTCTCAGTTTTTTCCTTTCATTTATATATATTTAATAACATCTTGTGGATGGATATGTGAGTATTAAGAACACCAAGTTCCTTTACAAGATTTTGTGATCTGCTAAGAAAAAGTTGTTTCTAAAGTATTATATGGTTTGAACAACTAGAAGCGATCTTACGTTCATGATTAAGTGAATTCAGTGTGAATGACTTTTTTTTTTTTTTTTTTTTTTTTTTCACTCAATAATGTTACTTTAAATTTTATTTAGGCACTGGTGCATGGGAGAGTGCTCTTACAAACACATTATCTCCTGGAGACCGGACTGTATCTTTCCTGATTGGCCAATTCAGTTTGCTGTGGATCGATCAGCAGCAGCGCCTCAAGTTCAATGTGGATGTCGTAGAAAGTGAATGGGGCCAAGGTGCCAACCTCGACATTCTAGAATCAAAAATTGCAGAAGATACCGCCCACACCATAAAGGCAATATGCATTGTTCACAATGAAACAGCCACTGGAGTCACCAACAACTTGGCTAAAGTCAGAAAAATACTTAGTAAGCTTGTCTTCTGCTGTGCCTGAATTAGCTTTCGTTTTAGTATCCATAAATCTGCTTCTGTACATGTTTTATTATCAGTTCTAAAATGGTTGTCTATATGCATATGTATGTGGCTCTCTATTTATCTATCCGAGGCCGAACCATAGAGTACTTGAGTTTCGAATATAGCTTGTCTAGTACCTTAGTTACTAGGGTTTAGATTTGACACGCCGAAGGCAGTCTTGTCACTTTTATTCCTTTTCATGCTGTATATTTCTCTCTTCTTTGTCAGTTACCTTTATAGAACGCGTCTCATTTTTTTTTCATTGAACTCTCAGATAACTACAGGCATCCGGCTCTCTTCCTTGTCGATGGAGTATCTTCCATATGTGCTATTGATTTCCGTATGGATGAGTGGGGGGTCGATGTGGCTTTAACTGGGTCTCAGAAAGCTCTTTCCCTCCCCACTGGAATTGGGATTGTGTGTGCAAGCCCCAAAGCTCTGGAGGCATCTAAAACTGCAAAGTCCGTGAGAGTTTTCTTTGACTGGAATGATTACTTGAAGTTCTATAAGTTGGGAACATACTGGCCATACACCCCTTCCATCCAGTTGCTGTATGGGCTACGTACAGCACTCGATCTTCTTTTTGAGGAAGGACTTGACAATGTGATTGCAAGACATAGCCGTTTGGGCAAAGCAACAAGGTAGAGCTTTGTTTTACAACTATTCGTGTCCCAATTACATTTGACTGCATTTATCGGGGGATTTGAACGTTGCTTACAACTTGGAAATACAGGCTTGCTGTGGAGGCTTGGGGCTTGAAGAACTGCACCCAAAGGGAGGAATGGGTGAGTGACACAGTGACTGCTGTGCTTGTTCCTCCACACATTGACAGTACCGATATTGTGAAACGGGCATGGAAAAGGTACAATTTGAGCTTAGGCCTAGGCCTGAACAAAGTGGCCGGCAAGGTTTTCCGTATAGGGCATCTTGGCAACCTGAACGAGGTAATGTCGATTCTTTGCATCTTACATTGTTTACATATTCCAAGCTCTTATTACAAATTGGTTGGATCTTGGAAGTGAAAAGGAAAATGGTCTCGTTTATTAGCTTAACGTGGAATAGAGTCGGTAGAAATCTAGTTTTTGAACCTCCGTCTCTCAAATACGCTAAGTAGGAATAGCGTTGGGAAATCTTGCAATGCAAGTAAAAGGGATCTGTTATAATTAAATACATCCCTTTCATTTTTACCTTCTCACTTGGTGGTATTTGAAAATTGTTGTGTTTCCAGTTGCAACTGTTGGGTTGTCTCGCTGGTGTGGAGATGGTGCTTAGGGATGTCGGATACCCAGTGAAACTCGGAAGCGGAGTTGCAGCTGCCAGTGCATACTTGCAGAACAATATCCCTCTGATCCCTTCCCGGATCTGATTCACAGTTTATCTGTGTAATTCGTTTTCTTTCAGGATGCTCTGTAAATAATGCGTATTTCGTTCCTACTTTTGCACTCTTTTGAGGTTAACAAAATTCCCTACTTAATACATGGTATTTTGAGTATAATCCACTGTCTGTGCTTTATATTTGAATTTTTCTTGGTAGTAAACCGTGTACAATTAGGCAGCGGTACATAAAAACAAAACTGTGATGGAATCAAATTCCACACAAGCGTAGAATTACCAAAGCGGTTTTGCAACCGAGAAAGGAGCAGACATGTTAAGACCTTGTCAGACTAGTGTGGCATGAGCCAGGACCCTCCAATTTATAAGTTAGACTTAGAAGTCGAATGAGAATCCACTTGCAGGACAGAGAAGCGATTAGGACAAAGCCATAACTATCTCAGTACCCATAAATTAAAGATGAAAAGATGAAATTCCCAGGATGGCACACCCACTTATGGTAGTCATTGGACACTATCACGTTGATGGAGGCTGAGGCTTTCCTCTTCTTGTTGGAGATCTTAGAGGTCGGTGAATAGGGAGGCGCGTGTTCGCCAACATGAAGAAGGAGGAAAGGCGAGTTTGGCTTCTTGTTTTGCGTGGAAAATAGTTTAGAAAATTTAAAATTGATCCCTGGCTGTTCAAGTTTAGGGTTGAACGGCCAGGATTCAATGCTCTGGAAGAGATCCAGAGAAGGATCCAGAGAGGATCCTAGTCCATCTAAGTCTAATCCATGTCGCATATTCGTCTGTTACAAATTTTGGGCTGTTACTAACAAATGACTGAAAAAGTGAAAAAGCGAAAAAGAAAGGGCATATAGCAAGTTCATAACTCTAACATGTTATAATTCAAGTAAACTCTCTTAAAAGAGAAAAAAAGAAGATTATCCGACTCTTGGAACTTTCTTCACAATAGTTTGTTTAAGCGAACAATTGTACCAATTTTACATCTAATGTAAAATTTATATGAACAGGCAACTCACAGGTCAAGCATACCGGATCACTTCTTCCTAGCCACAGCCGCTGCAATTCCACCAGCAAGCAGTCCAACAGCAGTCGCTGCTATCCCTATGCCAATCGCACCATCTGCATTCAAACAGAGGAGGGATAGTATTGTCAGTTTCACAGAGAGAGAGAGAGAGAGAGAGAGAGAGAGAGAGAGAGAGAGATGATTGATTTCTACCTCTTTTTATCTTGGCTTCATTCATTTTCTTAAGGTTCAGTGCCTGTCTCCAATCAGGTGCAACCTACAAAAGAACCATGTCATGGTAAATCTAGTGCAGACTATACAAGCACATTCAAGCATAAAGAGATAAAAGAAAAAACTAACAATTCCATAAGCATGCATATCTAATGGCGTCAACATAATTAATACAATCTGGACTACTATATAGAATGTGAAGGCAAACAGGAGATAATAACCGAGTATTTTCCACCCATAGTTCCTGAGAAGCTGCTCTACGTCTCCTTTCTAAATTTCACCATTGATGCTTACAAGTTACAAAGAAAAGAGTTATCCTACACGTGCAGAGCAAGTAGTTTCAAAGTACATAGGCATGCATTAAGTTCTGATAATGTTTGCATAATCAAATCTAAACGAAGATCATACCATCAAACTCTGTTCTACAAGTTCCCTGCACCTGGTATGGTCACCACTTCTGTAATACCCAACAGCAAGAAGATATAGCGGCTCTCTCACTTCCCGAGGGGCTTTAGTAGGATCCCTCCTAACCTCTGCAACATATCAAGTCAGAGAGAAAGTACAAAAGACAGTAAATTGAACAGCACGAAGGAGGTTCAGTGTTAAGTGCTTAGGAAAAGGCATCATATGGTCAAAATAGTTACAGCAAGCACACTGTGTTATCTAAAAAAACCTACAGAATAAAGTGTTTGTGTATGTATTGTATGTTAGTATGTTAGTGGATGTGCGGGCGTATAGGTGTGTGAGAGATAAGAGCGAGAGAACCTTCAAGCATTGCTATGCCACGTTGCACATCTTCTGGATGCCTTGAATGAACAAGAGCCCATGATAATCGCATAAGACATTCTTTGAAAACGTGATCAGGGGAACCATTCTGAGCATCAGCAACCTCTTTCTCAATACCCTGTCATAGCATGCATTCGAAAGATATAATCACACGAAAACATCTGCCAGGTCTGGCATTCAGCATGACCATCTTACCAAACTCTCATCAACATTATAAATGAATCATTTTCCTTTGATTAAACCCCTTGATTAAATCCCTACAAAGATGCCTTACAGGGGATTTAGTAATATTATTACTATATTTATCTAATTTAGTCTCCAATTGATTAAATCTTAATGATATATCTCTCTCCATTATTTCGTTAAATAATTCAAAGAAATACCCAAAGAATTGTATCAACAGAACTTCAAATCCTAATGATTGAAAACCTACGCACTGAGAGAAAACTAAATAATCGAATTCTGAAACCCTAAAGGTGCAATCTCATTTCACATCACATCACATGTATACCAACAATAAATATAAACAGATAAGAAATGAATAAACAAAAAATCGCAGGGAAAGTGCTTACGGCGATGAGGTCGCGGTCACACCATGGGATCTGATCGCCGCCGGAGAAGAAATTGCCAACTGATTCGAAGAATTTCGCAACGTTATCTGCCATTCTCGTTTCGTCTGCGTTGTTGGGTTTATGATTAAGAAAAGCCGACTAAAACCCACAGAACTCTTTCACACTTGAGCTTTCCTTTTTGTTCTACTTCAAGCCTTCAAGGCTAACTTTATTTTATTTTATTTTTCTTTCTCTCTCAACAAAAATAAAAATAAAAAAATAAAAAAGGAACCATTTCCAATCGTGAGTTAAAAATTTAACCTAGAAAATTTAGGTTTTAATCCAAAAGCAGGTTTTCTGCTCTAATTCTTTAGGTTAAATTTTTAGTCTGAGATTATTAAAGAATGAATTTAGGTATTTTTTTTTTTTTTAAAAAAAAATTTGTAGGCTATCCCAATTTAATCTCATGAATATTTTAACCTAAAAATTTAGATTTCAGTACATATTGAAAAATTACTAAACCTACATGGAACACTATGAAAGAATATGAATGCATGAAATATTTTTTAAAATTATTTTAGCCGTTGAGTTTAAATTTGGACCATTAGATTTGATCATATTAGATCTTAACTGTTCGATTCAATAAATTTATTAATATAAATATTTAAAATAATACACATAGATGGTTGTGTGATGACCCGTCCCGAATTATTATATATTTTTATCCCTGAGTATGTAAAGTGACAATAATGCCCTTGTGGTTTTGTGATGTGGATGTTCATATGCAGTTTTAAGTTATCTTCCTTGCTGACGTAATTAAATCGTACTCGACGTCACGAGCGCGTCGATGCAAGTTAGGGTCGAATTCGATTCCTAACGAAAGTATTACGATAATTCAAGAGCGAGATTGGGTAAGATTTAATTTTTTGGTTGCCTATCACATATCCACCAGTTATCTTCTTTCTTACAACCTTGAGCCCAATTAGAATTTTTGGGTTTATTTTATTTCCTTTGGACCAATTAATTAGACCCTAAATCCCATAGCCCAATTAGGGCTTGTGACCCCTTTTATTTTGGCCAACTCGTGACCCCACACACACACACACATACACATGTGCAACCCTTCACCCTCTCCCTCATCTTCTCTTAATTTCCCTCGTCCATACACCGTATGAGCATCACTCTCAAACTTACCAAAACTTCCACGGATTGACCCTATTGATACTACGATCATACTCCTCTCAAGGTTATGAGTTCATCCATACCATTAGGTCGAGGAATAGACGTCGGAAACCTGAGAACTCACGGGCTCCGACGAGGTGCTTTGTTGCTCCATTGTCATTGTGGACATTCCATGAAATTTTAAAGCTTAAGGAAGTTCTTAATCAACTCCATAGAGATCCTAGAGTAGTTTAGGGTGGATTTGACGTTGTGACAGCCCGTCCCGAGAATTTTAAAAACGTACGCGTGAAAAGACGATTTTACCCCTAGCGTCATTTTACGTTGTGTGTGTGTTTTTGGGTTTTTGTTGGCATGTTTTGTGCCACACACACACTAACATACACCCCACACCCTTTCTCCCTATCCCTGCACCTTTCCCCCGTGCCTTTCCCTTTCCCATTTTCCCTTCCTTGTACGAACCACACCCAAAACACATCAAACCTTCACAGATCGTGGAATCCAAGCACATATTCGAGCTCGTGAGGCTTGTAGGAGTCCAACCAAACCCATTTCAGGTAAGAACACCTTCGTTTTCACGTCGAATCCACGATGCCCGATTTCGGGTACTGTTCATGCACACGTGATTTCTCACGTTTTAGGGAATTTCAAGCTTGTAGGAAGCTTGGTGAGGTCCCTAGGAGGCTCGGGGTGGTTCGTTTGAAGGTTTTGGACGTCGGGATCACGAGTTTCGAGGTTGGCCGGAATTGGGGTGATTTTGCAGGTGAGATTTCGTGGTTTTTAGCACTTGAAAGTGGTATGAATGTGTTCCTCTAGTTCTAAGCTTCATTTTGGTACCAATTTTGTGAAATTTGGTTGAAAAACGAAGAAGATATCGAAGTTTGAAATTTTTCCAGTTTTCCAGCGCCGGCGCCGAAGGCTCGCCGGAGAAGACGACGGAATATTCCGTCAAGTCTGACGGAATATTCCTGACGCCGTTAATGAAATCTGTTAAAACTGACGGAATATTCCTAACGGCGTTAACTGACGTCGGCAGCGTGCCAGGCACGTGCCTGCACGTGGCCGGTGTGTGTGGCCGTGCCTTGGCCAGCGCGTGGGGGCGCGTGCGACGGTGAAAAATTATTTTAAAAATATGGGGATGTTCCTGAGGTTGAGTAGATCACGTTGGTATATTCATATACCCCATTTGAGCATTGTATGAGAAGTTATTTCTAAAGGTTGGTTATGTACTTTAAAATTGACGTTTTTGTAGTTGTTTCGCATATAGGTGATACCTATCCCGAGGACGAGCGTGGTCACTCAAGGCAGGGGGGCTACGACCATTCCACATATCAGTGAGTGGGCTTTTGGTTTTCCGTATATACCTGACAGGAGCATATTCATGCGACTTAAATGGCTTGTTCTCGTACATTTACGTTTTGTTTCTTTAGTTATTTTAGTTATTTATGCTTCTTTTGTGTGTTTTCAGGTTCTAAGGGCTTAGGGAGCAAGAAAGTGCATTTTGAGGCTATTTGGAGCATTTTTGGGCATGGATTGGATAGCTTATCCATGGAGCCAAAAGGATGGACGAAATTGAAGGCCATTTATGCAATTTAGGACATACAACAAAAGGCCTAGCCCATTCTCTCTTATTCTCTCCCTTATAGCCATGCAAAGAACCATCCATTCCATAAAAAACAACCCTATTTTAAGCCCATTCTAAAACCTTGCCATGCATCACATGCATTCCCCTCATAACCTAGTTGTCATTCCACTTCATCAACACATGCATTCCTTTCATAAATCAGCCACATATTCACCCACATGCACTTTAATCATTCAAACATGCACTCCCATTAATTAAACCATTCAAACCAACACAAAAACACGAACATTCCCTCTTTGCCGTGCAAACACATGCATTTCCCTTGCCATTTTCAGCCATCACACTTCATCATTACACCACCATTCATTCTTTAATCCACATCCATTCATCATCATTCACCCTAACTTCAATTCACATGCAAACAACACCCATTTCTGCACCAAAGAAGTCTATGCCGTGACCTTCCTAGCCATTTCCAGTTTTTCCCTTTACATTTCACATGCATTCCATACTTCTCCTAGCTGTTTTCCATCATTATTTCAGCCACCATTCACTCTTTAATCCACATGCATTCACACACACTTCACACAAACAACATTCACATGCAAACACAAGCTTTAACCAACAAACAAAACAGCCAACACATGCACCAAAACACCCATGCCGTGCACTTCACATTGAAATTCCAGCATCTTCACATGCAATTCCAGCTTTCACATGTTGTCCTAGCTGTTTTTCCATCATTCCTCCACACAAACACCTTAAACAAACAGCCATATACCTAAACACATCTCATTTTCAATACACAAGTTACCACAAACACATCCAATCTTCCCTCATTGCCGTGAGCTCCTTCCATTTCTACACAATCTCTTCTCGGCTTCATTCCATTCCATACACTCTCCCACTCGCAGAAACCATTCAACCTTAGCCGCTCCACCTTCATTTACAACACACTTGGAGCACCAACACCGAAGGCAACTCTTAAGGGATTTCGACATCAGTTTTGCTTCAAGGGTTCTTTCTCCTTAATTCTATGTTCATTCATGTTGTATATTTTTATATCAAACATTCTGTAAACATGAAGTGTAACTAATTTCTTTCTAGGGATTCGATGTAGCCTTGCAAGATTGCCATGTTGTTATTTCAGAATGCTCAGTTGATCCATCTATTTCTTGTTTCATTCTCTGATTTAATTGTGACTTTGTGTGTTGATTTTAATGTTTGATCACCATTTGATTTAACCACAGGTTGTTTAGCCAAGAGTAAAGCACACATCATGCATACTCTTGGTGGATATGTGAATGAATGAAGGGAATACTTTGCAAACAACCTGCCGAGTGTTTCCTTTGGTTTTATGAAAGTTTCTTGTGCGTGTCATGTTCTTGATTAGGGACCAAAGTTTCACATCACACTTAGGTTCATGATTAGGAACATTTGATCAAGTCCACACATCATATGGTTGATCATATCTAAGTGAAACAAACCCAAGAAATAGGTAGATGGATGAGTATAATCTGATTCAACAAGCATGGACTTGGCTTAGCAATGGTGAAACCGAATCCCTAGCTTCATCTCCATTTGTGCTATCTCATTTTATTAGTTGTTGATTCATTTATTTGTGTCTACTTCATTTTCTTGTGCTTTCAAGTTACAACAACAAATCTGCCTAAGTTGATTAGTTTTATTTCTCTTATAGAGTTCTTGCAAAACAAGTAATTGTATAGGTCCAATTAGTCCCTGTGGATTCGACACCCTTACTTGTGCCATTATACTAAACATATTCTAGCACGAAGAAGGAAAATCACCAATCAAAATGGCGCCGTTGCCGGGGACTGATTTCAGTCCCTTATAATTGCTTGTTTTGATATTAAACCTTGTTCTTTTCATTTTAAGTAGATTTCTGATTTTTATTCAAACTTGTTTTATCTTGTTTCAGGTAGTATATGTCAAATAGACTTGCTGAATTAGGCCAAAGAATTGAACGGTTAAAGGGCAACACTTTGGAAAGCTTTGTGCCAACAAGTTCCTCCATTGTCCGTGAAGAAGAGGAAGGGAAACCGTCTAGTCCAACAAGTGAAGGATCTGAGCACTTTAATTGGGAAAGAGAAGAAGAGATGGCGGGCAACCAAGATGATCTTCAAGCTTTGGAGGATTTTGCTCAACCAATCATACCAAATTCACCTTCATGCATCTTGCTGCCCACAGAAGCTAGAAACTATGATCTTAAATCTTCACATTTCCATATGTTTCCTTCTTTTTATGGCTTACCTAATGAAGATCCTTTAGCTCATATTAAAGAATTTTACAATGTTGTGAGTGGTTTACCTTTACAGGGAGTAAGTGAAGTAAATCTGAGGATGAGAGTGTTCCCTTACACCTTGAAAGATAGGGCCAAGGGTTGGTTAATGACTCTAGTACCTGGTTCACTCACCACATG